CTCTGTGGTGGGGGCCGTCCTGTGCACTGTAGGGTGTCTAGCAGCATCCCTGGTCTCCACCCACTAGTCATTCTCTGTGGTGGGGGTCGTCCTGTGCACTGTAGGGTGTTGAGCCACATGCCTGGTCACCATCCTATGGATGCCAGTAGCATCCACCTCCCCAAGTTGCGACAACTCATAATGTCTCTAGACACTGCCAGATGTCCCCTCTGGGAGCACAATCACCCCCAGCTGAGAGCCACTGATTTAACTGCAAAAATGGTGAGCAGAAGGACATTCCAGAGGGACGGACAACTGGCCCTTCCCAGATGTGGGGCTAACCCAAATGGGACCCAGCTGGGAAGTTTCCTTCGCTCCATACGCACTCGTTGGTGCCTGCTGTGTGTAAGGCAGTGGTGGAGCCCTCAGTGGATTAGTCCCACCAATGACAACAACCCCCCGGAGACCTGGCTGTACAGTCCCTCTCAGGGTCTAGCCATTGTGACCCACCCCGTTTCCCGGGCTGGTCCCACAAACCCCCAGAGCCACTCACCGAGCCATCAGACGCGCTGGCGCCCACTTTGTCCCCACGTGCATTCCAGCACACCTCAAAGATGCCGCCGGTGCCCCGGTAGCTGTGCACGAGGCTTCCACTCTGCAAGTCAAAGCAAGAGTCACTTACAAGACGAGCATGAACTCAGAACACTTCTGGGGTGGGCAGCACCCCGCCCCCGGTGTTTACCATGAAAACCTTCAAACACACGGAGGAATGTTCAGCTCAGAGCTCCTACCATGGGGAGCATGGATGACCCGCTGACGCCCACTGAATCTGCTGCCACATTTCTGCAGAGGCCACAGGCCGCTCCCTGCCTAAGACAGCGTGGCAGGGGGACCAAGGCCCATTCTTGTGAAATGCAGGACTCATCTGATGGGCAATTTTGGCTCAAGGACTTTGATGAAACATTCTTCATCCGAGGCTCTTCCTTCCTGTGATGGTTAATTTTATGTGTCAACTTGGCTAGGCTATGGTTCCCAAGGGTTTTACCGAACAGTAGACTAGTTGCTGTTCCAGAATGTAATGTAATATAACTAACTTCCATAATGCAATGTAATCACCTTCCGTAATGTAATTAATGACCTCTCCATAAGGTAATATAATAACCCTTCATAATGTAGCATAATGTAATGTAATGAGCTTCTACAATGTAATGTAATGTAATTGCCCTCTATAATGTAACCTAATATAATCAACCAATCAGTTGAAGGAGAGTTTCCTTAGAGTGTGGTCTGCCTCCAGATTAAACAGTGTATAAGGGGTTGGTGTTGGCTTCCCCCCATTTGGCTGCTCTGCTCTGGATAGCTTGGATGGAACGGACAGCACCACCACCCCGCCACCAGCCCAGTATCTAGAGGGCTGCTTCTGCGATGATAATGGGTAATGCTTTTCTGAGATGAGAGCTCATGTCCAAGAAGAACAGGATACAGGCTGAAGATGCCATGCCAGGGGCTCAGAAAAAGGGAAGAGAAGAACCCTTCAAGGTAGAAGACATTCTGATGAACTCAGACTTCTATAAACTTAATCATCTTAAAGCAGTGAGTTTAATGGCCAAGAGCCCCGAGGACACCCGAAACTGCAGATCTTCCTGGGGGAGAGGAGCTGCTCTGGGTGTGCACTGGGGATAAGCCCCTACAGCCTACATGAAGCAGAGCGAACATGGCACTGGGGCCGGGCTCTGCCTGGGGCATTGAGTGTGCTCAGAGTCCTCTGACTGGGGCAGCTCAACTGAGTGCACAAAAGGGTCACTGTTCCGAGCCTGGGTCACTGAAAACATCCTCGTGGGAGTCAGGAGATTACCTGAGTATTCCAGATATGGACACACTTGTCGAAGGAGCCACTGGCCAAGTATTTCCCATCAGGGCTAAAAGCTACACTGTAGACAGGTTCCTGATGCTTTGTGAGCGTGTGAATGCAGACGCCTCGCTCCACGTCCCACAGTCGAACCGTAGAATCAAACGAAGCACTGGCAAAATGGTGGAGAAAACGTGACCACAGGGATACACTGGTTTGTTTCTATTTTTATGCACTGTCTTTCTTCCCTAGTTTTCAAGCTGGGAGAGACAATACACTGGTGATTGTTTTCTCTTTCAAAACGTGCCACTAAGATGTATTGAAAAGAAAGCCTTAGTTATAAAACGAAACAGAGAACCAGCTGCCATGGAGTCAATGCCGACTCATGGCGACCCCATGTGTGTCAGAGTAGAACTGTGCTCATAGGGTTTTCAATGGATGATTTCTCAGAAGTAGATCTCTAGGTCTTTCTTCCGAGGTGTCTCTGGGTGGACTCGAACCTCCAACGTTTTGGTTAGCAGCCAAGTGCGTTAACTGTTTGCATCACCCACGGAGCATAAAACGAATACCCTCTGCTTTGTTGGGTGGGGCTACCAGGGAAACAAACTGAAATCTACATTCATTTGTTTGAGTTTTCTACAGATACGAAGGACAAATACTTTCGCAGAATTTCTGCTATGTTTTCTAAGATGCTCCTACGACTTAAAATGTAAAATCTCTCATCACCAACTGAACGAATGCAGATAGCCTCATGTGGAAAAATCACAAATTGAACAAGTGAAAATGTTAATCCAACAGGAATTAAAACATAATCGCATCCAAATATACGATCCCATTGCTGAGGGCTGCAAATTTTAGTTTTCGAATTTAAAATAAGAGTACATATCACGAAGCTGTTATGTGGCACTGCATCTCTCGATGGGGGCAAAAAGGATAATTTACATTCACAGTGGGTGCCATGGGATACAAAAGCACCTTCTGGAGCCATCAAAAACAATTACAGTATATAAGGGCCACAACAGATGGACCCTAACACAACGGGAGAAAAATGCAGAACAGAACCTCAAATTCCTAAAAAAAAACAAAACCAACATAAAACAAACCAGACCTACTGGACTCGTTGAGACTGGATGACTCCCTGAGACTCCTGCCCACAGACACTCCTGAAACCTTGAACTGAAACTAGCCCCTGAGTTCACCTTGTAGCTAAATAACAGAGGCTCACAAAATGAAGAATATCACCTGTGAGTACTGTGTTCCTTTAAAAATCACCTATGTAAGACCAAAATGGTCAACAATTACTTTAAAACAAAGATGAGAACGTAAGGGACTACGGCAACTAGATGAATGGAATTGGAACATCCAGAAGGGAAATAATGAGAATGTTCACGCATTGTGAAGAATGTAAGCAATGTCACTGAACAACTTGTGCAGAAACTGCTGAATGGGAACCTAAACTGCTGTGTAAACTTTCACCAAAAACACAATAAAATATTAAAGAAAAACCTTAAAAAACAAAAACGAGTATAGTGTATTCTCCACCACGGAACTTTAGGACAATTACTTGCATTCTCTTTCCTGGTAACCAGACGTTCCTTCCCAAGTCCTATCTTTTCCAGGCTAAGTGAACACCCACAGTTCTTCAGAACATGGCTTCCAGATCCCTGAGTGTGCTGGCAAGTCAGTCTCAAATCGCACCAGCTTGTTCTTTTAAATATTCCCAGGAAAACCCCGGTCACTGTATTTTGAATGGGGCCTGGCCAGCGTCAGGATGCTACCATGCTGTTTGCGGCAGCCTACAGTGAGTTGGTTCTGGGGAGATCACCTTTGTCACTTATCATCACTCTTTCTGATCCTGGTGTTGGATGGACTCTCACGCTGGTTCCTATGGAGCCTACGACATAAATGGTCAGGTGACACCTGTCCGTGGCTATTGCTGTTTGGTGTTGAGTTGATTCTGACTGCTAGCGACCTTATAGGACACAACAGAGCTGCCCCATAGGGTTTCCAGGGCTGAAATTTCTAGGGGGACAGATCGCTAGGTCTTTCTCCCACGGAGCTGCTGAGTGGGTTCAAACTAACTTTTCAGTTAGCAATCAAGCAATTACTTAACTGTTTCGCCACCAGGGCTCCTGATCTGTGTAGGGCCGGGAAACCCCTCATAACCCCTCAGACATCCCACTATCCTGCCACCTGCACATCCAAGCCGAGCCAAGCAAAAGAAGCCCCAGGTTCGAGCCTACCTGTGTTTCCTTTCTCTGTCTTAACAGAAGCTGCCTCTGAAGCAAGGTGCTCCAAACCTGGACAAGTCACAACGACCTTCTCCCAGCCTCCCAGCTGAACTAATCTTTATCTCGAGTTTGCTGTCGCTTGATAGCTATGTACCGTCAGCGCCTTCAACGTGAGCTACTGCTTCACTCAGCTGGGACAGGGCTAAAACAGCCTGCACACGCCTTAGCTGCCACAACATGTCGCTCCATCTGTGGGTTAACTCTGGCGGCCGGGTTCTACCTGAACAACAGCGGGCAAGGCCACGTTTAGGAGCCGCGCCTGGCTGCTGCCGTCTCCCCTACCTTGCCAGCATGATGTTGGAGTTGGGGTTGCTGGTGGCCGGGCCGGTGGGGCTCCACTTTATGGTGTAGATCTCTTTGCTGTGAGCCTGAAGGTCGTGGACACACGTATCCTGCTTCATACTCCAGATCTGGGGAGGCAGATTGAGAGCACCATGAACACGCAGTGGCACCCAACCAGGGGAGTGCTGCATTACCACTCCATGGCTGTGCCTTGGGTCTCCCACCCCCCGAGGAGCTCAGAGCACTGTGGGCACTACAGACAGCATAGAGGCTCCCGCTGTCCAGGAAGTGCCCGAGCAGAGAGCGGGCAAACGTTACGGGGGTGCCGGAGAGAAAGGGTGCAGGAAGGCCAGGGCTCTCAGCAGGATCCTTGACTGATAAACAGCAGTTAATTAGATGAAGGCGAATAAACAGGTTTTTTCCCACTTCCACTTGCTGCTGATTGACTCCGACTCATGGCAACCTCACATATGTCAGAGTAGGATTGTGCTCCACAGGGTTTTCAATGGCTGTGATCCTTTGGAAGTAGACTGCCAAGCCTTTCTTCCCAGGCACCTCTGGGTGGACTTGAACCTCCAACCTTTTGGTTAGCAGCTAACAGCGTTCACCGTTTGCACCACCCAGAGACTCCAATAATCGAGTCAGCAATGTGAAAAAATTAGAGAGGAAGGATGTACGTGCAGTAACAAAACAATAACCCAAAGGAACAGCAGATGTCAAGCTTGCATCGGTGCACATCGGGTGTGGGGGGTGAACGGCCCCTCTTTCAGACGATTTTACCTTTAACGTCATGTCATCGGAGCAGGACGCTAGCAGCATTCCAGAAGGATCCCACTTGATTGCATTGACCTCATTCTGAAAGAGAGCAAAGGGTTGTGAAAAGAAATAAAGGTCTGTGACCAACTCGACAGGTTAGACAGAAAACTTAGGGGGCAATGAGTTTATGTTAATGGGGGAGAAACGAAGGAAAAGGATAGCGAGAATGGTTGCCCAACTTGAAGAACGCAATCAATGTCACTGAATTGTGCGGGTAGAAATCGCTGTACCGGTATACGTTCTGCCGTGCATATTCTCAATAAGGAAAAGAAAAAAAAAAAAAAAGGTCTGTGAGTAGGTAACACAGCTGTACAGCAGGGGGCAGTAGTGTCCTTGTCTTCTTTGCAAACAGACTCTTGATTGACCTGACATGGCTGACAAATCCATGTATTTTCCTGTTTTTCTTACTCGGCCTCTCATTTATGTAAAATCACAGCCATACACCATACATAACCAGCCACCCTCATCCATATTCCTTAAAAAAAAAAAAAAACCAGGGAAAGAAGCAAAATTACATAGAATAAACGCATAAATAGAACCGATAAAACCACAGTTATTTTAAGACTGGACTTTCAAACTCACTTTTATATGCACTGTTAGTACAACAGTTACTCTCTCTGTCTAAAAGTGTACCAGATATTTCTCTTTGGGTGGTGAATGAGGTGGCGGGGGGGAGGGTGGAATAAAAAACCATACATTTTTATGCAAGAGTTCAACATGGAATGAGGGACTAACCCAGGCCAGAGGTGGTGTGACCCCAATTCCCAAATACACATGCAGATAAACAGATGTGCAGGACAAATCAAACGCACGTGCTCATCACTGCCAGGGAGTCCCTGGGTGCCACAAATGGTTAACATGCTTGACTGGTAACCAAAATGTTGGTGGTTCCAGTTCACTCAGCGGCTCCTCGGAAGAAAGGCCTGGTGATCTACTTCTGAAAAACCAGCCTTTGAAAACCCCATGGAGCACAGTTCTACTCTGACACACACGCAGTCCACACGAGTTGTGCTGACTTGATGGCAACTGGTTTGTTTTTTGTTTCTGGTCATTGCTAGGAACACACACATACAGAACCCTTGCCTGGGGTGGGGGTGGGGGGGATAGACTCGCAATCCAAGGCTAATAGGCAAGTCAGTAACAAGCGACAGGATGTACAAGCTGAGTTTTCACAGGTGGTTCTGGCTGCTACCGGGCAGGCAGGAAGGAATGGTCTTCCAGATAGTTTTCCAGGTCTAGAGGGCCAGGTGGCCCCTCGGCTAAATCTTGGGGGTGGAGTGGGGGTACTGTGACCCCACCAGACAGAACAGAACAGAAATTTACAAAGGAACCACCTGCAGCAGAGTCGTGAGGCAGGGATGGCGTGTCAAGCTGGGTGAACTGCGGAAACGGTGGCCACGTGATGATCCAATGGGACGTGTGGGGCCGGTGGCGGGGACAGTTCCATGTACGCCTGTTGTCCCAGCCTACCAATGAACTAATTTCACAAACCAAAACCAAAAAACCATAGTCTTTAAGTCAATTCCAACTCATGGTGCCCCCATGTGTTATAGAGTAGAACTGTACTCCATGGGGTTTTCTTGGCTGTAATCTTTACGGAAGCAGATTGCCAGGCCTTTCTTCCATGGTGCTGCTGGGTGGGTTTGAACCCCCAACCCTTAGGTTAGTTCCAAAAAAAAACCAAACCTACTGCCATTGAGTCGATTCCAACTCCTAGTGATCGGACAGGGTTTCCAAGGCTGTAATCTCCATGGAAGCAGGCTGCCACATCTTTTTCCTATGGAGCTACTGACCTTTCAGTCAGCAGTCGATCACTTTAACCACTGCGCCACCAGGGCTCCTTTAGGTGAGCTGTCGAGTGCAAATCATTTGCACCATCCCTGAACCTCTAACTAATTTTACACTCATACTTAATTTTAGAGTCAATTTCAGATGCGTAAGTGCCCTGGATTGGATCACAAATTATATGGTCACATTAACTTTCTGAGGACACTGAGTTTTGAGGAGTCTTCAGCAGAGAAGTGACAAGGCCACATCTGGTTCCATGTGGCACCAATGGCAGATGGGCTGGAAGGAGGAGCAGGAGGCTTGGAGTCAAGGAGCATAAGCTGGGGAGGATTATGTGGTCAGACTGGAGATGAGTGTGTGTGATACAGAGGGTCCAGGAGGACCCCAAGAGCAGCTGGGGCTGGTAAGAGGCACTGCAGGGACAGCTCAGCATGGACAAAGGCTGTGTGGGCAGCCCTGATTACAATGTAGAGAGGAACAGCTGTGGGCAGATCTCTTTGGGCCTGGAGTGTGCATCTGGTCACATTTACTGCCCCCAGCTGAACCACCTCAGTCCTCTAGGGTGGGATGGATCTTGTTTTCAGAGAGAATTCTCTATGACCCTCCCTCCCTCACAAAGTCCCTGGGTGATGCAAATGGTTAACAAGCTGCCCTGTCAACTGAAAGGTTGGCGGTTTGAGTCCACCTAGAAGTGCCTCGGAAGAAAGGCCTGGTGATCTACTTCCAAAAGGTCAGCCATTGAAAACCCCATGAACACAGTTCTACCCTCGCACACATGGGATCACCATGAGTCAAAACTTACTCCACAGCAACTGGCTGGTTTTTTTCTTTTCCTCCCCCACTCTGCAGCTCAAGACACAGTTCCCAGGAAGCTCCCAGACACGGCTGAAAGGTCTTGGGAAGAAATAGGCGCAAGGAAGTTGAGCTCCTGTTTTGTTGAGAATGACTGGCTGCTATAAGACGCATTTAAAAAGCCCGGTGGTGTGATATGGGGAAAGTCTCGATGGAGTTAGCTAGAAGATGCAAAAACTTTAGCGTAGCCATATTAACAGCTTGACTGGATTCACCTGGCAGAGGAGGGGATAGCCTGCGATTAGAGAAGAAGCAAGTTTAGACCAAAAAATACAGAGAGGAGCAGTTTATAGCCACAGAGAGATGTGAGGAAAACAATTAATGTCCACACGCTAAAGCACTTGCCCACCAGGGCGGACGCTGGGAAGGTAGGTACAAAGGAAATAAGAGCGGAGGACAAGGAATTCAAGCTAAAATGCGAGGCTCTGGAGGCTGCGATCCTCTTCCCTGGCTTTAACACGAGGGTTTGAGATTTCTGACTCAATTCAGAACATTACGTGACACTCCTGGTGCTGAAGAGGAAGCAACGGATGCCGCCCTTGATCAAGTACTCTGTGTCTCCTGAGCCAGCCAGCCGCACCAAGCAGCCACTGCCCACCACTGCAGGTCAAGACTGAGGTGCACACGTGGATGACCGGGACCCAGGTGGGAGCCCGGGGATTCCAGAGGAAGCCAGAGAGAAGAGGACGTTTGAATGGGGTCTGGGAAGATGGGGAGGATTTTGTATGGGGGACGCTGTGAGAGTCTAAGGTGGGGGAGCATTCCAGGCAGATGCGAGACAGGCAGTAGTCTTCCAAGGAGACTGAGTCACAAGGGAGAGACGGAGCGATCCGCTGGGGAAAGGGCCATGCCAAGAAACCTCATGAGGATCCAGCTGCTGTATATAACATTGTTGTGTGACATTTTCCCCCTCTGGTTGCTTTTAGGCACCCTGGTGGCAGAGTGGTTCAGAGCTCAAGCTGCTAACCAAAAGGGTCGGCAGTTTGAATCCAGCAGCCCGCTCCTTGAAAATCCTATGGCGCAGTTCTACTCTGTCCTATACGGTCACTGTGAGTCTGAACTGACTCAACACCAACAGGTTTGGTTTGTTTGGAGCCCTGGCGGCGTAGCGGTTAAGAGCTCAGCTGCTAACCAGAAGATCGGCAGTTTGAATTCAACAGCCGCTCCTTGGAAACCCTAAGAGGCAGTTCTACTCCATCCTATAGGGTGGCTATGAGTCAGAATTGACTCAACAGCCGGGGGTTTGGCTGTTTTGTTTTTTTTTAAGTTGCTTTTAGAAGCCCAGGTGGCGCAGTGGTTAAGAGCTCAGGCTGCTAACCAAAAAGGTCAGCAGTTCAAATCCACCAGCCACTCCTTGGAAACCCTATGATGCAGTTCTACTGTGTCCTACAGGGTCACTATGAGTCAGAATCGACTCGATGGCGACAGGAATGGGTTGCTTTTACGATGTTCTCTTTATCGCTGATTTTTAGCATTTCACAACCATACGCCTAGGTGTGTAGGTGTGGTTATGTTTATCCTGCTTGGGGTCTGCTGAGCTTCTTAGATTGAAAGTTGTTTACCGCTAAATTGGGAAAATGTGCCCATTATTGCCTCATATAATTGTTCTGTTCCATTTGCTTTTTTCTCTCCCTATGGCACTCCAGTTACATGGATGTTGGACACTTTTCTATTTCTCCACAGGCCAGTAAAATTTCTCTATCTTCAGGTTCACTAATCTTACTTCTGTACTCTCCCATCTGCTGTTAAGCCCCTCCACTAAGATTTTTCTTTCAGGTATTGTACCTCTCAGTTCTCAAATTCCCACTGATTGTTTAGTTTTCCTTTTTCTGCTAAGATTCCCTACCTATTCACTTATTATAACCATCTTTTCCTTTATGTTCTTGTACATTTTTATCACACCTACTTTAAAGTCTTTGCTGCAAATTCTGACATCTGAGTCATCTCAGGGTTAGTTTTAGTGATTTTTCCCCCTCTTGATAAACTATGGTCACCTTTTCCTGTTGCTTCATGTGTTTAGCAATCTTTTATTATATGCTGGACATTGTGGAATTTACATCGTAGAGTCTGAATTTTTTTCCCTTTTCATTTTCTTTTAAAGGGCATTGAGTTTTGTTCTGGCAGGTGACTCAATAATCCTGCCAGGCTTGGATTTATTCTTTGTTAGTGCAGGTCTATTTTCATTTCTCCTTAGGCCTCGGGCAAGGCCCTTACTCTAGGGTAAGATTCTCATTCCTAAGGTGTGTTGTTTCTGGGCTCTGAGGTGCTCAGTCTCACCACTACAGCTTGGCTGGAATTCCAATGCCTCCCAGCATTGCATAAACGTTAATGTCCTCTTCACCTCTCATTTCTATAGTAGCCACTCTCTGCTAGGCCCCATAGAGTTTTGCCCTGTGTATGCACGGCTTAGAAACTGGCCAAAGATCTGCAAACAATTTTACACAGACTTCTGAGGCCCCACTTCGCTGGAACTGCTCAGTTCTATCTTCTCTAAAACCCTGCTCTGCAAATTCCAGCTGCTTCATCAGTCCTGAACTCCAATTTCTGCCTCCCCAGCTCTGTGATAGCAACACTCAGCTTGGGCTCCCTTGCAAAGGAAGGTGGAGCCATGGCAAATGTGGAGCTCACCTTGTGCATTTCCTTTCTCTCAGGGATCACCGTTCTGCTCTGCCTGTTGTTCAATGCCTGAACACTGCTGCCTCCTGCACTTTGTCCAGTTTTATGGCTGCTTTTATTAACAGAGAAAAGTCTGGTACCAGTTACTCTGCTGGGGCTGGAAGTATAAGTCCATGCAAAAGATTCTGGATTTTATCCAGCAGACTGAAGTGTTCGATCTTTTCTTCAATTGAGACACATGACAGATGGCATTCACATACAAACATGCTTCTACAGGTTACCCATGTTTTGGCAGATATGCTATAGATAAGTCAAACTTGGTTTAGGAGAATCTCTGTCAACCTTGGTTTCACTTTCTTCCTTCCCACCAATTACTGGAGCGGGCTACAAAGAGCCTTCAAATGTTCCATTAAGCAGGGCGATAACACGAGCCTCTCTCTTTTTAGAAGAGTCACAGTGGAAGATCGACTGAAGCAGGGACTAGATAGAAGAATTCTAAACATTTACATACATGTTTATGTACATAGGCATAAAAGTAGGAAGTGGCATAATGTAATTTATGTTAATTTAAAAATTCTTTTGAAAGACGGTAACGTTTGTTAGGTGGCATAACCCTCCTTCACTTGGTTTCTCAACTCGAACTCATCATTACTACTGTCACTGCCTACCTATACCTGGGTTAAGCCAACCAGGTAGGGTAGCCAGCCAGCCCAAGATTGTAGAAGAACTGGTCTGCAGCCACAGTGCTTTTTTTTTTTTTAAAAAAAAAAAAACACAATATTTTATTGTGTTTTTGGTGAAAGTTTACACAGCAAATTAGGTTCCCATTTGACAATTCTACACAAATTGTTTAGTGACATCAGTTAACATTTTTCACAATGTGTCAACATTCTCTTTAACTGCATTCTGGTTGCTCTGTTTCCAGTCCTCTAGTTTCCCTGCCCTCTTATCTTCTCATCTTTGCTTTAGAGTCATTGTGGACATTCTGGGCCACCCACCCCGCTGCTATCAAGTTGATTCCAACTCATAGTGACCCAACAGGACAGAGTAGAACTGCCCCATAGATTTTCCAAGGCTGTAAATTTTATGGAAGCAGACTGCCACATCTTCCTCCCACAGAACGGCTGGTGGATTCAAACTGCTGACCATTTGGTTAGCAGCTGAGCACTTTTAACCACTGTGCCACCAGAGCTCCTTCTTTCAGCAGAGGTACCATCTCTCCACTTTGGCATTCTGGGTAGTAACAAGACGGTGGCAACAGTTTCAAGCATCATGATCAGACACAACAACATCTGGCGAAACAGGGATGGAAGGCTGTAGCACAATATCCCTGGAAAGCAAGGGCTGATCTTCCTCGCTGCCCACCCCATGACCCTGCTAACAGGCAGTGCTTTTTAATTCCAGGTATAAAAGAAACAGCTCCCTCCTCCCAGCACATTCTCATGAACTCGAGTCCAGTAATCAGAATGCCCACTTACTGTGTGTCCTTGGAAGGTTTTGACTGGGCGGTCACAGCCGAGTCTGCACACGTGGATACACATGTCCGTGCTACAGGAGGCAAAGGTAGTGTTGTTCTGCCAGTCCACATCAAGAGCGGGGGCTGTGGAGCAGGGAACACAGGGAGAACATTGGCATCTATTAGTCGTGCACAGAGCTCAGCTGATTCATCAGAACATGTAAGAGCATAGTAGAGAAGCCTTATCTAATCACGTGCTGACAGATATCTCCAGCTTGTACACAGCCTCTTTCCTTCAAAGACCTTCTCTGTCTACATCCAGAGGGATGACCAAATGCCTCTGCAGAGAGACCTCCTTACTCCTTTCGTGACCTAGGATGTATAGCGTTTCTCATTCCTGTGTTCACAGATAAGTAAGGGTAAGTGCGAAACACGTGGCTGCCTGCTTCTGCTTCCAGGAATATCGCTGTGATGAGCAAGTTTCATTTGTTTTAGATGAGGAGAATAAAAGAGAGGAAAATGACTTCGTATCTTATGCTCAAGATTCTTCTATTAAAAAAATCTCCCACAACACACTAATGCATTCCATCCACTGCCCTTTTCACATTCCTTAAATTCTTTCATTTCACAGTCTCGGCCCTATCAACAAAGGACAGGTTCCAGAGGTCCCCTTATTCAAAACAGTCCTTATAATCGATTCTTTCCCACAGAATCTAGTGCATTTTTAGCAAAAAAAAAAAAAGGGGGTAATTTTTTTTTTAAATGACTTCAGATGAGCTCAGCCTCATTTATGAACTTACGTGCAAGCTTTATCCACATTTGGGGAAACAATTTCTAGAATATAAACATATACACATTCTAAGAACCTGCTTTTCTTGACCTGGAGAGTGAGAGTGAGGTGGCACAATAACTGCCATTTAGGAAAGAGTTGCATGTTCTGGTTATTTCAAGTTGGGGCATTTGCTCTTACTAGTTTTCTGTGGCCCTAAAATATTCCTTGAATTTGGACAGGTCCATCTGCAAACAAATCTATTTCTCCATACAGAGCATATACTGCCGCCTTTATTAAACCCAGGTTAGCCCCACATGTCAGTGGACACGTAACTGGTCCGTGCAGGGTCACTTGAGGGACAAAGGTTCTTCTTGGAATTGCACCATAAAGAGGAGTTTCTGTGGAGGGTCTCAGTTTCTTTTTATATCCACCGATGGGGAGGGAAAAGTAGTGCTGGCCTTTTGGATCCTTACTGCATTAGCCTTCCTCCTGCCCGTGCCTCCACTGAGTGAAGTGCTCTGCAAGGTCCAGAAGGCCCAGCTCCACTGGGGATGGGTGTTGGCAGGAGGGATGAGGGGTAAGTAGGGTGGAGGAGGCTGCGTCTGGGAAGAGTTTGCACAGTCAGGATGGGCCCTGGTATTGAGTGGGCTCCACACATGTCCCCAGGAGAAGGCGCAAGGTCAAGACAACTCTCCCAGCCTGCGGAGGCCAGCCCCACTCGTCTATTTTCCTAAACACCACCTGTCTTCTCCATTATGCAAGGCACAATATGGGTTCTCACTCCCCCTCCATTGCTCACAACACGTTTTTGGCCTTGACGCCACACACAGTCCATCTGGAAATCCTACCTTTCCCCTAAGTGCCTGAATACTGCTGTGATTCTCCCTTCACCTATTAAAGTCCAGAGTTGGAGTGACCAGCTGGACATGAGGAAGGCGAGCCTCATGGCACAGCTGCTGGGCTTGGTATCCTCAGCTGCAGGTCAGGTCCCTGGGCTGACCCTCTGGTGCTGGGTACAGGGACTCCCCACCCCCAACCCCCCACACTTCACGGGTTTGCAAAACATGCCTCGTGACACCCCATTACAGGCCACCATGATTCGTATTTTCAAATGATGTCACTTAAAGCACGAGGAATCAATAGACACTGGGGACTGTTAGTCCCCAGGAGCCTCTGGTTTGGGTTCATCATCAGCTGAGCAGTAGACAACATAGAGCCAACATGACTGACACACAGCTGGGACCTTATCCTCTCTCCAGCACATATCACATTTGCTTGGAAACACATTTGGGAGAAAAAAAAAAAAAGAGAGAGAGGTAGCATGATATGGGGGGAAGAAACCAGGTTAGAATCCAAATCACATAACCTCCCTGGGTGCAGTGCTCTCATCTCAAACACCAGGACAAAGACTGACAAACTTTTCCTGTGAAGGGCCAGAGAGGACATACGTTTGGTTTTAGGACCATCAATCTATGTCGCAGCTCCTCAACTCTATGCAAAGCAACTGCAGACAATACGTAAACAAACAGGCTTGGCCGTGTTCCAATAAAACTTTATTTACAGAAACAGGCAGCGGGCTGCATCTGGGCCGTACTTTGCTGACTCCACTGTAAGAGGCTGGGTGTACTGACCACCAATGTCCCTTCCAGCTCCAGTGTGCTCTGAAGCCAATTACCTGAGACAACTACCAGGAGTCGGCACTAGAACTGGGAGAAGAATGCAGCTTGCTCACGATATGCTAACAGTTGCACCGCCCCTTCCCAGTCTATAAATAAGGGGTGCAGCCCTCCACATGTCTATCCACCATAACTGCAGGAATCCCATCAGCTTCCACGTTCCCCTCCGTCCCCAGGGGAGTATGGTGTGTGAGGATCTGGCTGAAAGCCAGCAGAGGCTTTTTCCACAGTATACATTCCCAGGGCAGAGATTGTCTCCCTTTGTTACATCTTAGCAGAGTGTTTAAAAACAGGCCTACGGCGTCTGGGGTCTTAAAAGCTAGCCAGCAGCCATCTAAGATGCACCAGTTGGTCCCAACCCACCTGGAGTAAAGGAGAACGAAGAACACCACGGACACAAGGAAAGTACTATCCCAAGAGACAGAAAAGGCCACATAAACCAGAGACTCTATCAGCCTGAAACCAGAAGAACTAGATGATGCCCAGCTGCTACCAGTGACCACCCTGACAGGGAACACAACAGAGAGTCCCTGATGGAGCAGGAGAAAAATGGGATGCAGAACTCAAATTCTAGTAAAAAGACCAGACTTAATGGTCTGAGACTGGAGGAACCCCAGAAAGCATGGCCCCTGAACTGTCAACCCAGAACTAAAACCATTCCCGAGGCCAACTCTTCAGATAAAGATTAGATTAGACTATGGACATAAAATGATACTCGTGAAGAGTGTGCTTCTTAGCTCAAGTAGATACATGAGACTAAATGGGCAGCTCCTGACCGGAGGTGAGATGAGAAGGCAGGGAGGGTCAGGAGCTGATTGAAGGGACACAGAAATCTGGGGTGGAAAGGAGGAGTGTGCTGTCACAGTATAGGGAAAGCAACTAGGGTCACATAACAATGTGTGGTATAACTTTTTGTACAAGAGACTAACTTGAATTGTAAACTTTCACTTAAAGCACAACAATAAAAAAACAACAACAAAAAAACAGCCCCATGGTTCCTGGCACAGGAAGTTGTGAGATAGTACAGAGACGTCCAGGTACCCTTCACCCAGTTTCCCCCAATGGTTACATCTATGTACAGCTTATGTAACCACGGTACACTATCAAGACCAGGAAGCTGATATTGGTACAAAGTTTGTGTAGACTTCTATGTCATTTTATCGCATGTGTAAATGTGTGTAACCACCACCGCCATCAAAATACAGAACTATGCCATCCCCAGACCATCTCCCTCATGCTATCCCTTTATAATCACACCTACTGCTCCCAACCCCAGCAATCCCTTATCTGTTCTCTGTGTCTATCATTTTGTCATTTCAAGAATGTTCTACAAACGGAATCACAGAGTATGTGGCCTTTTGAGATTGGCTTTTTTCACTCAGTAAAAAGCCCTACAGTGGCGCAACGGTTACGCGCTTGGCTGTTAACTGAAAGGTTGGTGGTTGGAACCCACTCAGTACCTCCACTGGAGAAGGACCTGGCGATCTGCTCCTGAAAGATTACAGCCTAGAAAACCCTATGGGGCAGTTCTACTCTGTTACATCGGTTGGCCATGAGTCAGAATTAACTCGCTGGCACCCAACAACAACAACAGAAGGCCCTGGACAGCCATTCAACTTGTCACGTGTATCAACACTTTGTTCCTCACTCTTTCTGAGTAGTATTCCAGAGTTAGGGCTTTAGCTAATGCTTCCTGCTTACGATGACTGAGGACACCCCCAGAAAACCAAGCAGGGCTAGGCAATTTCTCAGATCATCCCATTAAGTGATGGGCCCGGGACGCCTAAGGCAAGGTGCCCTCACAGATCTTACCATCTGCATTTCACCTGGAAAAGCAAAATTCTTCCTTCTTCCATTCTGAGTAACCCCTAGCACACTGCTTCACACTGAACAGCAGCAAACACCACCTGGAACATCATGACCAGGTGTTGGGATGTGGGTCAGCCCCATGGACAGCAAAGCTACAGGTCACTCAGCACCGAAGAATCATGTGGTCTGTGGTCTTCTAGGGCCAGCTGACGTAAAGCCTGTCCATGGGGTCCTGGGAACACTTTGGGAAATGTGACGACATGCTGACTTTATAAACAAGGGACTTCACTGATGTGTGAACGCAGACATACTATTCTCTGACAAGTAGGAACCAGAGTTTTTGTATTACAAATATTCCTCCCATCACACAGGTGGGCATGTCTGGTATTCTAGGGCTGTTCGCTTGTCACTGGATCTTTCCAGACAACAAAGGGAGGGATGGTTTTGGCATTTATGCCAAACGCAATAGAAATCCAGCAGGGACGATGTTCTCACTTGATGGCTGCTTTGGTTTGCACAGTCCAGAACACAGAGCAGGAAGAGCTGGGCGTAGAGAAGACACTCACGGATGAAAACAATGCAGGTTGACTTGTCAGGGCCTGGGAGTGGGAGGGGGAAGTGGGGAGTGTCTCCTTAATGCGTTTCCTTTGAGGTGATGAAAATGTTCTGGAACTAGAGAGTGGTGATGACTGTATGTTAACGTGAATAAACTAAATGTCACTGTTAAGGGTTTGTCTCTCTCTCCCCAAAAAAGCTTTGGTGAGGTCCTAACCCTTGGTACCTGTGAATAAGACCTTGTTTGGAAGTAGGGTCTTTGAAGACGCTATCAGTTCTGTTAACATGAAGTCATACTAAAGCAGGCTGGGTTCTAATCCCATCTGAGTGAAGTCCCTATAAAAGAAGAGACGCACAGGGACGATGGAGGTATAGATGGGCGTGACGTGTCTACAAGCCAAGGAAAGCCAAGGAACACCCAGCCACAGAAGCTGGCAGAGGAGCACGGAACAGTCTCCCCCTCAGAGCCCTCACAAGGAATCAGCACCGCCAACACCTAATTTAGACGTGTAGCCGCCAGAACAGTGAGACAATACACCCAGTTTGTGGTACTTTGTTACCACGGCCCCAGGAAACTCATACAGTCACTAATGGTAAATTTTATGTTATGTGTGCCACAGACCCAGGCACCCAAAGCTGTCCAAACAGAACAGGCACTGATTCCCACACGCACAACGCCTCACGCACAGCTATCACTGGCTGGATAAACAATAGATAACGTTCACCCTGGCACACAGACACACCCTCGTAACGGAAGAGATACTTCCCATTAAGGGAAGTGGAACCTACTACCTTCTATCAACTTTTAGTCAATTTCCTCTAACAGTCTTTGTTTTTAGTTAAGAGGCCATATGTGACAAGAGTAACAGAGATCAGAGCCGGGAAAGGAAAGCAAGAAGGTGAGGATCTGGAACTTCTGAATCTCTAGACACCTAGTGGTCCCAGGTGCTGCTCAAACGCATCAAGGAGTATGGCTGGGTCCACAGCAGTGTGGCTCCGTTATCTGTGCAGCGAAGAACTCAAACAGCAGGCAGACTGTTAGCCTCTGACTTAAAGACTGCCTGCAGGGGTGGCCGCTGGCTGGAGTCTGGGAACTGGGATTTCTGGAGGGCTCCCAGCATTCCCTAACTGGTAAGGGTGGCTCACTGTGTCCAAATTGTGCAAACAATGTGGTTTATGCTGAACATCTGCTTTCCTTCTAGGGGTCTGGGATTTTGGTATGAGCCAGGCAGAGGGTGCCTACGTGACCAGCCCCCAATAGAACCCTGGGTGCTGTCACCGAGGAGTTTCCCTGGTAGACGATACTTCATGCGTGCTATCACAAGCCATTGCTGTAGGAATTCAGTGTGTTTCGTGTGGCTGCACGGGGAGACGGTGTTGGAAGCTTGTGCCTGGTTCTCCCCAGACTTGGCACATGTGCCTTTTCCCTTTGCTGACTGTGCTGTGTGTCCTTTGATTTTGATATACCACAGCTGTGAGTACGAATGTATGCTGAGTCCCAGGAGTCCTCCTAGTCAATCACTAAACCTGGGGGTGGTCTTAGGGACTCCCATACAGGAGCCCTCTGGGATCACAGGAGAAAGGAGCCCCACGCCAACACCGTGGCTGGCGCTCTGTTACTGTTTTCAAACTCTTGAGCAGATGGGTGGTAAGGGCATTTGTATCTTGCTATCCTTAAGAGCAACGCTTTCGATGAAACGGTTTCCTCCTTACCAGCTGGGTTCCACGGGCTCCTATCCTAATCATTCACAATGAGTTTGGGACACATTTCATAGGACTCTGAACTACAAGAACCAATCCTACTTACCTGAGTGAAAAGGAAACTGTTGTTTGGCTTCTCCTGTGTGGGCATCCCATATTATTGTTGTCTGTGCTCCGGAAACAAAAGAAAAAGTTAGTAACTGTTCTTGCAAAGTTTACTCTAAGAAAAAATGCAGTGTATGAGATAATGAGGCCCTCTTCTCAACCAGCGGTGTCCAACAGAGGTATAATAGGAGCCACACAGGGAATTTTAAATTTTACGCTAACTACGTTAAAAAAAAAGGAAAAAGGAAACAGGTAACTGTAAAACTGATTTTAACAATATATTTAATTTCACTCCATTTCAACGTGCAATTAATATAAAAAATAATGAGATAATCTGACATCCTGTTTTTCATCCTAAATCAAAATATCCAGGCACTGCTGACTAGATTCCAATCATGACAATCCCATGTGTGCAGAGTAGAACTGCACTCCACAGAGTTTTCAAGGCTCTGACCTTTCAGAAGCAGACTGCCAGGCCTTTCTTTCAAGGCACCTCTAGGTGGGTCTGAACCACCAATTTTTCCGTTAGTAGTCAAGCGCTTCACCGTCTGTGCCACCCACGGACTCCTTCTGTCACCCTAGGTCTTTGAAATTCAGTGTGTGTTTTCTACTGACAATTGGATACCACGAAAACTACCAAAATTGTCCAGGACTCCCCCTCCACCCACAGCATTGAAAACGGTTCAAAAAGTCTTCCTGGTACTTTCCAAAGTGCAAAGCTGGAGAGACTGGGATTTCAGAAAACTCCCGATCCACACCTCATGAATTGGAGGTGTCGCTATCACAGAGCAAGGGGATTCCAGTGGGGTCAGTGGGAGCTGGTAGGAGAGGCATCTATTTATTGGTCTATAAACAAGGGAAACCATGATCTCTGCCTGGAGACATGAAGTAAATCCTGATTCCTTATCACCCTACTGAAGAGGGAGAGCCTTAGGGAAGCCGCCAGGGGCAGCTCAGCTAAGACCCCTGGCAGGAACTCTGAATCCACTGGAATGACCACCTTAACTGGAACCTCCTCGCCACATCATCACAATAAAGACTTTGCTTTCATAAGAACTGAGCGCGTTTTCTATTCGTCATAGAAATTCTCAGAGGAAACACTCACAAGAGTATCTTTAAAACTTGGTTCTCTAAGAGTTGGTCAGCTCCAAACCAATTAACTCTTTTTTTAATTTGGCAGGGGAGGGGGGGATAAGTTTTTAATATGTCGTTGTTGGTTTCCAGTGAGTCAATTCCGACTCCTGGCAACCCCGTGTGACAGAGCTGAACTACCTCGTAGGATTTTCTAGACTGTAATCATTACAGGAGGAGGTTGCCAGCTCTTTCTCCCGCGGAGCCTCTGAGTGGGTTCGAACTGCCAATCTTTTGGTTAGCAGCCGAGTGCTTAACTACTGTGCTACCAGGGTCCCTTACTTTTTAACGCAGTGACCCACACAGAAATCCAGGCACTGCAGGAACAATATAAACTCTTTCACAATTCTATGATACACTTTCACACACTACATCAGGAACTGTATCATTTAGTCGATGTTTATGTTACATTATGTTATTACACAGGAGTTTTTAAAGAATCTGAAACAAACTCAAGTCACACTGGGTAGGTACGGCAAACACTGAAAGTCAACGCGGGCATCCTGTAAACTGCATTTTCTCCCTCAGTATAACTGTTGAGAACATTGTTACTACTCCTGCTGTGGTTAACTGAGTGATAATGGCAGAGTGTATACAACCCACAAGACCAATACAACTCCAAATATGCATTTTCAATAAGCAGAAGATTCATCATCTGGCAGAATGGAAATGGATAATCAGGTAGAAAAACACGAATGAAAACAAGAACCTTCCGATAGGAAGGCGGTGACGACACCAAAGGCTGTTTAGAATTTTATGAGTAAAGAGTCCTAATGGTGATACAGAATCTGGGTTCTACTCCTACCTCCATTCTACAACAGCTGTATGTCCCCAGGGAAACTGAGGAACCTCTCTGGGCCTCCATTTCCCTCCTGGAAAACGGGATTGCTCATACTAGCACTGCCTCCTTTCTTGGGTGCAGTGAATGGGTTAACATATGTAGCAGTGAAGCACTCAACAAATGTCAGCTATCATTTTTATGAGTCATTTTAATAATTCAGCCAGCAGTTACGATGGCCTACCATGCGCGTGACAAAGTGTCATGTGTGCGTCATCTCTGAATGAGAACGTCTTAGGAAGTGTGACTGTAGTCACATGAGAGCGTTTAGTTGGTCAACCATGGCAGCTCAGCTTTCATTTATACCATGTACCAGGCTGTCAAGTTTGAGCAAAGAGTTCCTTGGCTTTGAAGAGCGAGAGAAAGTGAAGGAATTATTGACTTTGATGGTTATACCCTAGAACAGGGGTCAGCCAACATTTTCTGTAAAGGGCCACGTGATAAATACTTTGGACTTTGTGGGCTAGGCGGTCTCTGAGGCAACTATTCAACTCTGCCACTGCAGGGGCAAAGCAGCCAGAGACAAATGGGTGTGGCTGTGTGTCAATAAAACTTTATTCACGAAAACAGGCAGTGGGCTAGATCTGGCCTGTGAGCTGTAGTTTCCTGACCCCTGCCCTACCGAACACACGTCACCTGTTGTTAGCTGCTGTCCAGTCAGCTCCAATTCACGGCAACCAGAATGAAACACTGTCCAGTCCTGAGTCATCGTCATGATCATTAGTATGTTTGAATCCACTATATATGCATATTCTGACTTCCTCAGGAGTGTGATGATGTTTCGAGGTCAAGTCTATTATTTTATACTGATTTTTGAAAGTTGAATAAAAACAAAGTAGTAATCTAACAAGGTCTTCTAGTTATTCTGAAATCACTGTGAAAATGCAGAACGTTTTGGAGCCCAAGCCAACATATACTAGTACGCAGGGATGGTTTTTAAGGCTGTGACCTTTCAGAAGCAGATCGCCAAGTCTGTCTTCTGAGGCGTCTCTGGGTGGGTTTGAACCGCCCATCTTTTGGTTAGCAGTCCAGTGCTTAACCATCCAGACTATCCAGGGACTCCCATGATGAGATACAAATTAACAGTAAGAGAACAAAGCTTATTCGTTGTTACCAGGGGTGGGTGGGAGGGGGAGAGAGTCATTGCTCAGGGGGCACTGAGCTTCTGTTAATGGTGGTGGAATACTTTGGAAAAAGACAGTGATAATACTTGCAAACATGATGAATGTAATCGACGTCACTGAAATGTACACGTAAAAATTGTTGAATGGGCAAATGTTTTGTTACATATATTTTTACCACAATTAAAAAAAAAATCCTTTTTCATTCAAGGAAAAAAAAATGACAGTAAGATCAAAACAACAAAAACAAGTAAAACCTAAACAAGTCTGTCTGATTTCCTAAGGGGAAGCACAAACCCTTAGAATTCAAAGAAACCACGACTAAAAAGAACTAAGTATTTAGAGATCAAAGAGAGATATTTTAAGTGATACTCACTTTGTCTACACCAGCACTCAAAATGTAATTCCCCTTTTTGTTCCATTTCAAGGCAAAGATGGGGCCTTTATGTTGGCCTAAGGTGCTGGCCAGGTTGCCTGTTACGTGAGGGAAAAAAAAAACAAAAAAAAAAACGCACATGTTGCCTTCAAAGTCACGGTCAGCGCACTCAATGGGAACATCCTGAAACACCGATTATCCTACAGGAACACGAGGGACGCGGGACTCACCATCTTCCGTCCATATCCTTGCAAAGCCATCGTAGGAACCTGTAGCCAATAGTGTTCCATCGCTCTGGGGGCCAGAAAGAAACACAAACCAATCAAAGTAGTTCAGTCATCATAGCACCGAAGAGCAAAGAGAGCCTGTCCCATCATCCCAGGGCTAGACTTTTCCTAAATCCTTAATGGTTCAAGGTGAAGGGATGGTTCCTGCTACACTGCTCTTCACTCAGGACGTGAGGCTCACCATGCAGACCGCTGAAAAACAAACACTAACCGCTCATCGCTCTTTGGTGGCTAATTCTTCAGTGCCGTCATCAAAAATACCGTACAGACAGTTATTGTAAGACTTTTTTTTTGAAAATCTGTCTGCATACAGAGGAAAACAGGATCTGCGATGAAATGACAGTTTGCAGAAGCACTATAGGACGCAACCGAAAAAAACCCAAACAAACCAAGCCCGCTGCTCTCAAGTGGATTCCGACTCATAGCGACCCTACAAGACTGGGCAAAACTGCCCCATAGGGTTTCCAATGAGTGCCTGGTGGATTTGAATGTTCGGCCTCTTGGTTAGCAGCCGAGCTCTTAACCACCGCACCACCAGGGCTCCGTAAACAGCAAGGGGGGAAGTAAAAAGAAGTTAAAAGAATGGTCCGTGTCCTGTGTAGAGATACACATAGACATTTGCTACTGAAATATCAAGGCGGAAAGGCACGCTTCCCTGGCCACACACAAAATCTCCCCAGAATGGTCTTGGGGCTCCCCTTGGCCTGGCTCCCCAAAGTGAAGCGTCCTCAACAGAACCATCAGACTCATCTTACAAACCCATGTTAATAATGGAACAGGTATAGTAAAAACGGTTTGGCATCTCCTCAAAAAGTTAAACACAGAGTTACCATATGACTCAGCACTCCCAATCCTACATACGTACCCCAAAGACTAGCAAACAGGGACTCAAACAGACACGTGTGCACACCAATGTTCACTGCAGCACTATTCACAATAGCCAAAAGGTGGGAACAACGCAAGTGTCCATCAACAGATGAATGACAAACAAAACGTGTATCCATACAACAGAGAACTGTTGTTGGTGCTGTGTGCCACCGAGTAGATTCCAACTCATGGCAACCCTACAGGACAGAGTAGAACTACCCCATAGGATTTCCTAGGCTGTAATCTTCACTGGATCAGACTGCCACATCTTTTCTCCTGCAGAGCAGCTGGCGGGGTCAAGCTCCTTCAAGGCAGTATTACTCAGCCGTAAAGAGAAATAAACTTCTGATCCACGCTACAATGTGGATGGAGCTTGACGACAGGACGCTGAGGGAAATAAGTCAGACACAAAAGAACAAATATTCTATGATATCACTTAGACGAAACCTCTAGGATAGGCAATGAATAAAGAACACCGAAGAAAAATTAGGGTGTTGGTGAAGAATACTGAATATACCGTGGACTGCCAGAAGAACGAACAAATCTATCTTGGAAGAAGTACAGCCAGAATGCTCCTTAGAAGCAAGGATGGTGAGACTTCATCTCGCTTATTTTGGACATGTTATCAGGAGGGACCAGTCCCTGGAGAAGGACATCACATTCGGTAGAGTAGGAGGTCAGTGAAAAAGAGGAAGACCCTCAATGAGATGGACTGACACAGTGGCTGCAACAAGGGGCTCAAGTACAACAACGATCGTGAGGATGGCGCAGGACCGGGTAGTCTCTCATTCTGTTGCACACAGGGTCACTATGAGTCAGAACCGACTCGATGGCAGCTAACAGCACAGACGAGGCAAAGGCATAGAGACCAAAAGGACAGAAGATTGCTGGTTACCAGGAGATGGAAGAATGCGGGGGGAAAAAATCTGTGTCCACTCAACATTGGTGGATTATATTTTAGGTGAATTACTCCTCAATAAAGACTGAAAATAGTAACAATAATGGACAGGCATGGGGAGCCGGCCTCGTCAAAGCCCCGAGAAGTGGAGTGCCCTGTGAGAACAGCATGCAGATGGCTCTTGCCAGCAGGAAGCCCTGGTTGGCATGGCGGTAGGCAGACGAGACAGACCACCGGCCGCCCGGGTAGTGGGAGGAGCTTACATTCCAATCCAGCGAGGTCACGTCCTTGTTACTGGGCACATCGTGTCCCCCTTCCCGTATACAGTGCCTCAACACGAGCTGTGTGGAGCCCCCGTTACTGTTCTCGTTGAGGTTCCATATCCTCGCCGTAGAGTCTCCAGACCTGGACAAGTAATGACACACGCGTACTCAGTGTTGGCCGAGGTGGACAACAATCAGCGCAGGTGCGTGCCGGCTGGCCTGGCCAGGTCTCCTGCCTCTTCCCTCCTCACACTCTTGCCTTTTATTATGGACTCAACTGTGTCCCCTCAAAATATGTGTTGTAAATCCTAAACCCCTACACCTAATTCCATTTGGGAACAGTGTTTTCTTTTGTTACGTTAATTAGGCCATACCAGTGTAGGTGTGTCTTAAGCCGATCACTTTTGAGATATACAAGGAGCAGATATGGTGCAGAAGCAAGCACAAATGGGTGAGGAATTGCGTGCCACATGAAGATCACCAAGGAGCAGGGAACAGAAGCTGAAAAGAACTGAGGATCTTCCCCCAGAGCGGACTGAGACCGAGTCTTCCTCTAGAGCTGGTGCCCTGAACTCAGACATGTAGCCTCTGGAACTACGAGAAAATAAGTTTCTTTTCATTGAAGCCATGTACTACTGGTATTTCTGTTACAGCAGTACTAGCAAGCAAACTAAGACACCTTCATTAATGTTAACTGCATCTGCACTGCTCCCTGCCCAACTGAGAAAATGGCTAGGTATGACGGCTCTATTCCAGTAATACAAGACACATGGGGAAGTGGTGCCCAGAACCTTCCCAGCCTCCGTTTGCACAAGCTGCAAAGATGTCACAAACCAAGAGCAAGGCGAGAGCATGTCCCACCAGGCAGACCTTCAGAGATGAATGAGCATTCTGGACCCCAACACCTGGAGCGCCCCTGACCTGAAATCCTTACCCAGAAGCAAGGAGGTCACTGACAGGGTTCCAGGCACAGATGAACACCTCAGACTCGTGGCCCCGAAGCACGGTGGCCTTGTTGGGTGGAATCTCAACTTCTCCATCTATTTCCATTGGTTTTGAATGATTATCTGTAGCAGGAAGCAAGAAAACACACATGGCATATGACTCAGAAAGAAAGTAGTTCTTAGAGCACTGTTGTGTTAGATGACAAGGACAGTTCCTTCCTGGATTCATCAGTACTGCTGGACTGGGCAGGGTCCCTGGGTGACACAAATGGCGAAGGTGCTTGGCTGCTAACTGAAAGGCTGAGGGTTCGAGCACTTCACTGGGTTTTCACTGGCTGATTTTTCCGAAGCGCGTCTGGGTGGGCTCGAACCACCAACCCGTCAGCAGCCGAGTGAGCGTGTTAATTATCTGTACCACCCAGGGAAGAAATCCCTCAACACAGAAGGCTGGATGAAGGGACCTAAGCTCCCACAAAGGAAATACTTTTGTTTATGCTGGACAACAATCACGTAGTACTTTTCTCATCATTACCATAACTAGAAGGAACCCCAGTGGCATGATGGTTAAGCACTAAGCTGCTAACCAAAAGGTTGGCGGTTTGAACCCACCCAGCGGCTCTGCAGAGAAAGACCTGGCAATCTGCTCCCGTAAAGATTACAGCCTAGAAAACCCTATGAGGCAGTTCTCCTCTGTCACAAAGGGTTGCTATGAGTCAAAGTCGACTCGACAGCACCCCTCAACAGCACAGAGTTCTCAGATTAGCAGGCTTTCCTCCAGCTGGGATGCGTGAGGGAAGACTGTCTTGTCTACAGACTGTGATTAAAAAAACAGAACTGGAGCCTATCTATTCTCATCAGATGGTAGGCTAACAGGTGAAGGCAGTCCGGGAGGAGACTCAAGAGCAGGCAGAGCTTTACGGATTCTTTTGGACTTGAGGAAACCTGGATGTCAAAACACAAAACAAGGACCCGAAGCTCAGGGCACGCTGGCGTCGGCACTTACTTATTGCGTGTGCCCCGTTCTCCTCCCCGTTCACCGTGGTCTCTCCGTTCTTTGGTGTGTTTTGCTGGGACACAGTTGCTGGGGTGGCCGCCGCCGCCGCTGCCGTGGCCGCCGCCGCCGCCGCCGTGGCCGCCGCCGCCGCCGCACTGGCCTGCTGCTGGGCCAGCTTCTCTCGGAAGGCCTGCTGCCGCGTCTGTACCACGTCCGGCATCACCGCGTCGATCAGCGACAGCGACTCAATGGGCCGGCCATCAAACACGGTGCCGTCCTGGGAGGAAGGGCCCCGCCGTCAGCGCACATGGAGCGCGACCCCCAGCCTGCTGCCCTCAACAGGAGAGTACAGGGAGTGGAGGTATTCAGGGGCTGCGGGGTGTGGAGGAGGTGGGCAGCGCACACCCAGAGACACACATGAGAGGACTCCACGGAGGACCAGGGTGGGAGTGGGTGAGACAGGATGGCCGCCCACCCCAGGGAGGCTCAGTGTTATGGACTGAATTGTGGCCCCAAAAGACGTGTTGTCAATCCTAACCCCTGTTCCTGTGGAGAAGGAGCCCTGGAGGCTCAGTGGTTAAGTGCTCAGCTGCTAACCAAAAAGGTCGGTGGTTTGAACTCACCAGTTGCTCCTTGGGAGAAAGATGTGGCAGTCAGCTTCTGTAAAGATCTACAGCCTTGGAAGCCCTACAGGGCAGTTCTACTCTGCCCTATAGGGTCAGTATGAGTCAGAATCAACTCAATGGCAACGGGTTTTGGTTTTATACCTGCAGATGTAATCCCATCTGGGATTAGAACTTTCTCTGTTATGTTAATGAGACCATATCAGTGTATATATATAAAAGGAGCAGATTAGACACAGAGAAGCAAACACAAACAGAGAGAAACATGCATGCCACATGGAGATAGCCAAGGAACCAACACACAAAAAACAGATAAGGACTTTCCCCAGAGCTGACAGAGCCAACAGACAGAGAGCCTTCCCCTAGAGGCAGCACCCTGAATCTAGATTTCTAGCCTCCTGAACAGCAAGAAAATGGATTTCTGTTTGTTAAAGGCCCCCCCGCCCCGCTCCGCCCATGTGTGGTATTTCTGTCACAGCAGCACTAAGAGACTAAGACACTCAGGATTCAGTCAACTGTCAAATCAAATTAAAAGTGTCTGGGACTTCCGGCAAAATGGCGCTCTAGGCAGAAGCACCACGCCGTCCCACCATAGCAAAGATCCAAAAAACTAAGCTGAACAGAGAAAACAACAATCCTGAAACCCTAAAACATCAAATGAAGAGATAAAGAACTCAGCCAAGCACCAAATGGAGTGAGAAAACTGACAGAAAATGGAGAGCGAGGAGAGATTCATGCAGAGGTCCCCTATCAGACAAGGCAGCGTGGATCTGCCATCTTGGGCTCCTATCGGAGACCACCAAATGGGGGTACGAGAAAGCAGCTTCACGGAGCTTCCAGTAGAGAACAGAACAACTGGTAATTTGCGATATACACTTTCCCACTCACCACCCTTCTTCATCCCCACTCAGCCTCCTCTGCTTCCCGCGGCCACAATCTCTTGTCCGGGAAGCACCAGCTGCTTGGATTCCACCCACCTGCACTAGCTGGCTCTCTGAGTACAATTTGTTGGCTGCTGGTGTTGCTTTTTTCCACTTCTTTTGATTTCTTCCTTACCTCTCACCACCTCCCCCACCTTTCCCTCAAATACCTGGCTCTGTACGCCATATCTTTGCCTCTTCCTAAGGGGCTGCGGAGCTCCGGTAATTTGTGATATACACTTCCCACCCCCTACCCTTCGTCACCCACACTCAGCCTCCTCTGCTTCCTGCGGACACAGCCTCTTGTCCAGGAAGCACTGGCTGCTTGGATTCCACCTGCCTGCACTAGCTGGCTCTCTGAGTTCCATTTGCTGGCTGCTGATGTAGCTTTTTTCCGCTGCTTTTGATTTCTTCCTTACCTCTCACCACCTCTCCCTCCTTTCGCTCAAATACCTGGCTCTGTGTGCCATCTTTGCTTCTTCCTGAGGGGCTGTGGAGCTCCGTTTGAGTGTGGAGCTGCTTCCCGGTCTGGGCTGCCGTGCTGGTGGGATCCCGGGGCTTTTGTTTGTTTGTTTTGAATTGTTTGTTTGTTTTCTTCTCCTTTTCTTGAGTTGGGAGCCTGTTCTGGCCAGGCAGTGCTGCGTGGCTTGGAAACTACCCCCTCGGCTTGCACAGACGTGAAGAGGGATCCCTGAGGGCATTTCTTTTCTCATTGGTTTTTTTTCTGTTTTTTGGGGGGCTTTTCTCATTTTTTTTTTAAATTTGCTTTGTTTTCTTTTCCCTCTTTTTCCCTTTTTGTCTTCCTTCATTACTCAGTTTCTTGTCTCTCTATATCTTCCTTCTCTTTCTGTTCCCTGAACACCTGGCATTGTATACCTCTACACCTTCTAGCCAGGCTGTACTGCAACACCTGAGAACAACTTCCCCAGACCTCATAGCCGCACCGGTGGGATCCCTGGGAACTTTGCTGTTCTTTAACCTTTCCAATTTTTATTTATTCATTCTTTTCATTTCATTTCTTTCTTCCTCTTCCCTTTTTGTTTTTCTCCATTTCTGGTCTCTCATCTCTCCACTCCAACGGCAAGCTCCCCTAGCATTCTTTTCTCTTTGTTTGTATGTTTTTGGCTCCTGTTCCTC